TCTTTCCGCTTTTTAACTTTCTACAGAGCGAGAAGCTGAGAATTTACGTTTTACACCCATCTTTCTGTGCTTTTGTCATTTGACGAGCAATTCCTCGCACTGGCCAATTCATTTCACAGGTGTAATTGCTTGTGTGTGTGTGGGTGTAGATTCTTTACAGAAGCTGACAGTGAAAAGGAGCAGAAATACGTACGGAATGAAGACAGTTGGAGGGTTGTAGGCATGAGGGGGTTGTGTGGAGGGATTCCTGCATATAAAAAGACCGGTTGTGTTTCGAAGAGGCAGTAGCAAGACTAGTGCATGATGGTTTATTTGTTGAATTGTTGGATCACTTTCAGTTTCACCAAGGAGTAATGAGAGCTAGGGTGTAGGATCAGGCATGAGTAGGCTTCTAGGATTGTTCATTCCCGTGCAAGTGAGTCATCGCGTACGACCCGTTGTTGGTTTTCGATTTACATGCAGAGAATCTTATTCTCCATGACTCCGGGGGGTAGAATTTCCCTTGTGTGTTTTTTTTTTTTTTTAACCCTGCTTGGGTACCGGAGGGGTTAAAAATAGCACAACTGTCATCTCACTCAGCCTCTACGTCTTTGGTTATAATCCGTCCAGCAAAATGGTGTCATCTATATCCCATGACCTACTCATTCTCAACAGCTTGGCTCTTGTAATTTGTAATGACGACGTTATTACGGTTAATCCGTACGGATTTTTATACTCTCTCCTCTCCATAAATTATAAAATATTTTTAAAAGAGTTTTTTATTTTAAAATATAAAATATTTTAAATAGATTAAAATTTCATTAAATGTAATAATTTTAATTTTATCTTTTATCTTTTATAAATAATTTTTATTATTTTTTTAATATATTAAATGATAGATATTTTTAAAATTTTATATTTTTATTTTAAAAAATAAAATTATTAAATATATTTAATAAAATTTATTGATAAATAAAATTTTATTTAAAAATATTTTATAATTTATGATGGAAGAAGTAATATTAATTGCCGGTGTCACATGCGGAGGCAAGAGAGAAATGATGAGGGGAAAGGTTTGGGGCGTGTCCGGAGGCGTTGGAAAACGGAAGGAATACAGCCGAGGCAGCTTTGTGTCTGTGAGTGAGTAAAAGAGCAGAACTCTTGCAGAGTACTTTGCTTTGCCAGCGTGACAGAGTCAGTAAAAATATATTCCAGATTAAAATAATATCATATATTTTAAATTAAATAAAATTTTTAAGAGATATTTTATATTATAATTTTAGAAATAAGATGAACATACACTTGTCCAGATCCTAGGATCCTGCATGGAGCCGTATGGTGTGGTGTGATTTCTTAGCACATGGCCGTATCCATCCATTGTCTTAATCAATGTCTTTGTTTGTCTCTTCCTCTCCTTCCCCAAATTCACCAATGCACCCTCAGCGCTTGATCACTCACCCTGTTATTATTTGTGTGTGTTCATTCGTTTCAACCCTAACATCAGTACCTATTCATTAATTAAAAACCAACCACTACCAACAAATGTTGGGCCTGGTAGTGGGAACTATTTTCTCATAATACAGTAAATCAAATTTAAATTCTCATTAAAAACGATACCCACGTTTATATTTAATGTATAAAACAAGTGCCAAAATATATCATCACAAACAGCAAACATCTGCTTTCTCACTATAATTCATGAAATGCCATTTATAACATATTGTTGGGAATTGTGCAAATAATAATCGGAAATAAGCAAAATAAAACAATTGTAAATATTAAAAAGCTAAAGCAAATAACAAAAAATGACATAAGAAATTTAATATGAAAAAAATTCTCCAATGTAAATCCACGGGTAACGAATGAGAAATTTTATTATATAAAACATGTGTACAAAAAACCGAGCAAAAGTAGCCATGTTAACTTAAAAACTCAAAACTTAAATTTATGAATTTTTTATTTTATATTATTTCTTAAGCTTAACTTTATCCATTGTCTCTAATTCACTCATGAACAACCTAATACATATTATGCCTACATCCACGTGCTGAAAGTGTAATTATTATTACTTTTAATTTGATATTCTTCTCATCAATTTTAATCTGAAAAGGATCAAAATGGGTCAAGCTTTGTGCATACGTTTAAAACTCCAGAGGTCACTGGTCCTCTCGATACTCGATCGAGGTTCCATCTCCGTATCTTTTATGCAATCTCTTGTTAAAAAAAAAAAAAAAAAAGCTCTAGAGATCCACTGATACATATGATTATATACGGCCTTGTGGAGGTTGAAGTTCATTTAACCTTTTAATTTGCTTTTTTTAAAATCTACATATATATCAAGAGTGGTATATAAATGTAGATCAATAGTCACCGACTGTTCTTCAAACTTGTTCCATAAATATCATTTCCTTGTCAAATGAGGTTAATAGTAAATAGGACTCACTCCAATTCTTTTTTCTCCATACAGAAGAAGAAGAAACCTATTCATTGAATCATTGTTGCTTCATGTCCTGTTTCTCTTCCAAATGGCAGCTGAAATTAAGCTAGAGGCCAAGAATGATCACATCACGTCCTTGCATATTTTCATTTTTTTGTCCCTCTCGATCATCAAGAATATATCGGAGCGTACGTTATAAATGCTATTGTATACAGATTCAAACATGGCTAGCCAATTTTTGCGTTCTTAGAGCCTGTTGTTTTCTATTTTTAAAAAATTATTTTTTTTGAAACAAAAACTTTAAAAAACTTGTTTGAATAAATGTTGTTCATTTAATCATTTTTAAAACTGTTTTCATTTTTTAAATACACTACATTTGAATGTTAAAAATTACATTTATCTTGATTAATTTTTATCATTAATCATCACCATTAACTGTCTATAACTATCATTATCATTTCATTTTTAATTTTAAAGCTGTTTTTAATGATATAACTAAACAGATTTTTATTGTATTTTGTTTGAAAAATAATTTAAAAAATTATATTATGAAGCAGTTTTAAAAACAAAATATAAGAATAGAAACAAACTAGGCCCAGACTCTTCGACCCAGATTGAACATCCCAGCATGCTATCAAACTCTAAATTTAAGAAAATTACATTGACGATGATGATGATCAAGTTTTAGGGAAAGCTTTGTGCATAATAATAAAAATTAAGAAAGGTTATTTGTGGACTCCAACGAGAGCCAAGAGGCAACAGCACAGAGGACCCAGACTATACGCACTCACTCTTCCAAACGTGTTGGCTTCAACTGGAGACGATGAGCCCTAACTTCTCAAATCAAATGTTTGACTTTTGGTGGAAGTTTTAGCCGTCATATTTTTTTTGTATGATGAAGACGAAACTTGAAAGGGTGAGTTCGATCATGATGATTTTGTCGCATTTGATTTTATTTTATTTTTTAACCAGCGCATTTGATTTTCTTTTTGCTTGAAATTCGTCTTGTTACTGTAAATTGATAACTTTATTGACAGACAATATGTTCTCTAGATCCAGTTCATATTATGTTATGAGACGTGAAGAATGATGATTCGATGAGTTAAAAAGGCTCCTTGAACGAAGTTGAGTGATCAAATCTTGCAGATGAAAGGACGTGTCGGGCGATTTATCAAAGAAATAACACCGGTTGAGACGTGTGCGTGTATTTACATGTAGTCTTCGTTCAAGGGAAGCATGCTTTCCTCTTCCTTTCTCATCATCTCTCCCTCTCTCTCTTTTTAATTATTAGATCCAGATTTGAATAATTTAAGTTGGATCTCCTAAAAAATTATTATAAAATATTAAAATATAAAATAATAAAATTCAAACTACTAATATTTAATATGAACAATTAAAAAAACAGCAAAAACAAAAAAATGAATGAAATATTTATAAGAAATAAAATATCAACTATTCAAATCTTGATCTAATGATTAAGAATTAGGAAGTGACGAAGAGGACAGGAAGGGAGGAGGAGATAATCCTCACCTGGCTGAAGTTATATGAATGCAGAAAAGTTTTGAGAGAACTATTCTTATTAGATCATGCTAATATTCATATATTAAAAAAAGAAAAAAGAAAAGAATTATACTATTGGACATTGATAAATAGCAACAAAAGGTTATGATCAATAAGTATTTCATCAATGGAGAAACATTTTATCTATATATGAAAGACTTTGATTGGAAATGTTTCATAACATCTGTTACATGGCTGATCGAGCTCGGTGGATTATTTTTAAACCATAATTAGAGTCATGATTTTAATAAATCAATAATTGTGGCAGCCGTACACCTCTTGGTTATCGAATTTAAGGGGCATTCACGGGAAAAAAAAAAAAAACCTCTCTGAACCAGTTATTTGCAGATGAACTTTTGATGATTGGCACTGCCCCCGGATTTTTTTCGTTTGGGGATGTGAATTAAGTTTGTTGATCAACTATCCTTTTTCTTTTTGCTTTTCCTGTATGTCTTAAACGCACCATACTGCAAGATCAGCATGTCCCTCAGCTTTTCATTTTCATACTATTTGATGTTAATATTATTACTTATTAGGATAAATTTGTGTATTAAATAGACTTTAGGACGCGGCTTTTTCTGAGTTATCAAGACGGTCGTGCCATAGCGGACAAAGAAAACTCTACTGATCCAGTATAAACTTGGTCATAAAGAAAAAGCTTTCTTTTCCAAATATCTTGAAGCTTCATCAAATTATATGATGTGGTGTGAATAAAATTTATTGTATAAACATGATACATGGTATGGAATTCAAATTGAAAGTTATATATACTCCTCTATTTAAAAATAAAGAATTTTTAATCAAATTTCACCAAAATAAAATAATTACCTACTTTTAAATTAACTATATTTTTTATATTTATCCCTATTAAACACTCTACAATAAATATAAATCCATTATCAATAAGGACACTTAAAAAAAAAATAATGACTATCCTTCAAAAACTAAAAATGTCTTACATTTTTAATAGAGAAAGTAACTATTTGCAATTACAAAATAATTCATGAGTTATGAAACACCAATATTCCAAATTTTAAAACAACCCAAATTCTAAGTTTGTGCTGTCTCTTTTTTTCTTTATCCAATACACTGCATGCACTCACCTTTTACGAATTTAGGGTGTAACCAAATTGTCAAGGTGAGCATGCATTGTGCAACGGTAAGTTTTAAATATGGGGGCACTCCGGATACCATAATTAATGACATCGTAACTATACACGATTACTACATATACTACATAAAATTTACGCAGCAACCATTTCACTCTTTAAACATTTGATTTGCCCCATAAATTAATACTGTCACAACTTGATCTTTTTCACTCTGCTCCTTCTTGGGTTTATGACAAGAATGAATAAGCACTTCTCACAAGTCCTGGATAGCTTCCCTTGTAGAACGTTGATGACCATGTTACCGTTTTCAGAAGGTGCATTGGCGTCAAGAAGGGTCTCAAGTGACCTGGCTGTTCTGCTCCGAACTCTACCTGCTTCCTTCAATAATTCACTCAGCCTTCTCTTTTCATCATCCACATCAGGATTCGCTGTCCCAAGTTTTTCCTCTCTCATTCCAACCACATACTCCAAAATTTGAATTGCCTCATCCACCCTGAAATACAAAATCAAAGCACAAGCCTAAAACAATTTCTTGTGTCAACTTCTAATTATTAGTTCAGCCTTTCCTCATATCAGGGACATGACAACATCGCATGCCTATCTATCTGGGGCCTAGTAATCCTAAATCCTAAATAACATCAAAAACTCGAGGCAAAGTCTACTTCACAATTCATATAATGCAGCAAGGAGAATAACTTTATAGGGAAACGCCCGTTCTTCCAAAGAGAGAGAATTTGCAAACAAAACAATGTAACTCAGAAAAGAACACAAGGCTTGGATATGAATACCTTCCCATTGCATCATATGTACCAGCAAGATTGCTGTAAACCCCAAGCGTTTCATGGTGATAGGGACCATACTCTTTTTCCAGAATATTCTTTGCTTCTTCAAACAGTTCTGTAGCCTCACTCAATGCATATCGCTGCACACAAGCAAGTCCCATTTGATTAAGAGCAACAGCAAAGAAAGCTGATTTCTTCTCCCCAGTAGCACGAAGCTTCAAGATAGCATTCTTCAACGTGTTATAAGATTCAGTATAGTTTCCCAACATGTAGTGCATGACTCCCATCTGAGCTTCAATTCCTGCAACTGTGCTTTGCCGACCAGGGGCATTCTTATATATCTCCAGTGCCTTAGGAAGTAACTTAAGTGCCTGTTCAAGCTCGTTCATTGACTCATAGATAGCCGAAATATCCATAAGACCACTTGCTGTCTCCTCAGGAGGGATCCCAGGCATAGGTTTCTCATAGATTCTAAGTGCACTCTCACAGTAACATTTTGATTCCCTTATCTTCCCTATCCTGTTATACAAGTCAGCCAGACGTACAAAGATCGATCCCACGGCTGGATGGTTCTCTCCTTTGCTGGTCTTGAAAACTGTGAGTGCTTTCTGATAAGCAAAAACAGCTTCGTCGTACCGAGACAAGGATAAGTATGTGTCACCAATGCTGCTGTCAACAGATGCCACTTCCACTTCCTGGCCATTAGCCACCATTGCCATGCTGGCTAAAATTAGATGCTCAAGAGCTGCTTCATGGTTTCCTTTTGTTTCACATATGAGGCCCATGAGCCTCCTATCAGCTGCCTCTTCAAGAGAAGGGGGTGAACCGTTTGCTTTGTGAATGTCAAGAGCCATTTGGCAGAGCCTCTCAGCTTCATCAAATTGCAACGCTTGAACATGTGCTTCAGCCACATACCGGCAGGTTTCACCAAATCTTGGGTCTGTTTCTCCAAAGACTTTCCGCTGGACTTCCAACCCTATGGTGTAGCACATAATTGAATTTTCAAGCTGGCCCAACATTGCATAGGTGTCACCTAATTGCATGTGACCTGCAAACTTAGCAAGGACGTGATCTGGCCCTTCCTCAATGGCAGGAATTTCAGTGGAGTGCTGAAGAATTGGAATTGCCTCATGGTATTGGCCTAGGCTAGAATATATTGCTGCAGTAACATGAAGACACATAACCAGTTCCAAACTTGGCTTTCCATCAGCATGCTTCTCAAACAATCTCATTGCTCGAAGAGCTAATTCAAGAGCCTTCTGTGGATTGTCTCCTGATGAAATCAAATCTCTTGCTTGCTTTAGTAAAACTGGCCCCATCTCTGGCTTGTCTGATGTAGATTCAGTCGAATTCCTACTCCGATCTTGTGATATTAAACTTCTAATAGGAGAATTCTTAGATTTTTTCACAGGGGTAACTCCAGCATTTTGTTTTCTCAGAGGTTTATCATTCCTCTTATCAGTGGGCGGCTTTGTAGGAGGACTTTTTCCCTTGGGTTTCAACTTTGGTGGTGTTTCAGGGATAAGGTCTGCCCGTGAGTTTGACTCTTTGTTTGACTTGTCTGAAGAAACAGAACTTGTAGTAGCAGATTGCATCTTCTCATCCGCCTGTACCAACTCCTCACATTGAATCTTCTCATCCTCCTGTACCAACTTCTCACATTGAATCCTCTCATCTGCCTCTACCAACTGTTCACCGTCTTCTGATGTTCCTTTTCTAGAAGATGTTTCACTGAAAGAATCACCTCTCGACCTCTCAGCCACCTCCTCTTCAATTATTTCCACTTCCCTCATCGTCCCTCCAACTAGATGGCACAATTCTGAATCGATCCTAGACTCATTGCCATCAGATCCGAGACTTTGTCTGGAGGGTGAGTGATCAGAACTTTCCATGTCACAGACATTTTCATAAAGCTGCTCAATTGAGGTGTCAACTGGTAGAACAGGTACATTTGGACCTGAATTCTGAGGACTTTGTTGACTAAAGGAACTCCCTTCGGGCTTGATTGGAGTGGCGGTTTCCTTACAAGGAGAAGGATTCCCGTTCATCTCATTTGCTCTTTCATTATGTTCAAATCCATTTGTAAGGATTCCCGGCATCTTTACTTCTTCAGGAACCAAATTCACTGGGAGAACCAATATCAAACAGCTAATCTGCATAACAAACAATAGTCACAACACACAACAGAGAGGCAGAAAACTACGCCCCCGCCCCAAAATCTACATCAAATCGAAAAATAAAGGATGAAAGGAAATCCAAATGAAATCGTCCAGAGATGGTATTTTGCTTTTGGTTAAAGAATAAAGATGTCATGTTTACGAAGCCAATATCTATCCAAAATACAGGCATTAAATTCAACACAGAAGACATAAACGAAGAAGTTGGAGATCCATCCTAGCTTCAGCCAGTTCAATTTTCCCCATTTCTGTAATAATGTCAAGGTACTTGTGGGATCTACCAGAATAAGTTAGAACTAAATCGAAGAGAATTTATACAAACAGATAACAAAATTATTTAGAAAAAAACAGCCCATACCATGCAATGAGATAAGAAAGCACCAGTATGAAAACAAGAACTAAAGAAACTGTCTCACTAGAAAGCGATTATGGGCAGAGAGGAAAAGCGGCCCTTTCTCCATTTTCGGAGGCATAAAATACGTCTGCACAAGTTAATGGAGTGAAACTCGCAAACGAGGACAAGAGAAGCCATACCTTAATAACCGGCCATGGCAGTGAGCAAAACTTGAGCTGCCTCACATACTGAAAGAGATATGAAAGAATGTAAGCATATATAGGCAAACGGTCAGACAAAGAAAAATCGGACTTTTTTGGTGAGACGTATCCATTATGCGGAGTCGACGAATGAAACAGACAGAGAGAGAGAGTCGGAATTGGAAGCTTTCAAGAGGATGAAGAGGGCAGAGTGGACAATTTACTAGCACTCTAGCAGTGAGCAACTGAGCATGAAAGCAAATACTCCCTTTTACCGCCGAGAAAACAAATAGACCAGTTGCTGTGCATAAGACGTTTTAAAAAAAGGGTGAGTTCTAGACTTGGAAGTCGGAACACTAACGGCGTTACTAAAAACATAATGAATAAACCATTTTGTTTGTCCCTACATTTTCTCTCATTTTTTATTTTGGCACCTATATTTTTTTTAATTTTTTGCCCATCCTTAATCTTTCAGCCGTTAAACACGTTGCCCCTCTACATTTAGAAATAGCTTGAGGGACTTATGGATGAAAGGAACACCGTTAACTCTAAAACTTTGAGGGAGAAATTGAAAACTCATAAGTGATGTTACAGATTGTGTTCCCTATTCTTGGCGAAATGATGAAGATAGTGTCAATAGTTTAGGTCTTCAAGCAACGAATTTAAACTACAACATCATCTTCACATTCAATTTTGAGATTCAAAACAAGGTGTGAATGCTATTAGTGTTTCCGTTATAATCTCCACTGCATGGGTGTGCACATGCCATTATCTTCTATATGTGCATACATGACTTCATTGAACCAAATGGAGCAATAATGTTCCACCCCCCCCTCTGCGTGGTTGATTTGCATTCTTCTGTTTGCATGCATTTTTGTTTTGTTCTGTTTCTATGTTTATATATTTGTCACCATTCATTGAGTTGGATGGAAACCATATTCATAAACACCATACACAAGTAAGTGCTTATGTGCGCGTGCACTTTGTCATAAAAGACATTTAATTGGCAAATAAAAAATGTTTACAAGTAAAAGAAAACTTGCATTAGACTATAATTGGAGATCTAAGTTTGTGAGTTTTTAGGAGAATTTCTTCAGACTTACATTTTTATCTGTGATGTTTGGGAAATATCATAGGCAGAGAATTGAGAATATAGCCATGTCTGCATTATAAAACTCACTTTTATTAACAAGGATAATGTCTTTTTCTCATTAAATGATATTGAAGATATGTTACTTTCAAGTTGAGGCCCGTGGCACACATGAACCCCTTTTAATGTTAAGTTAAAAAGACAGTTTCATACAGTAATGCATGTGGATGGTGTGACAGCATTTTATATTGTGACATTTTATTTCTAAATAGTAAGAAAAATTACTTACAGCAATTCCTGTAGGTAGTTGACATTATTACATATCTGGGATGGTGTGATAGGTGCTTTATATTGTCACAGCAATTTTAGTTCAAGGTGCTAGTGTTTTTGGGTTTCATACACTTGTGACAAGTAAAGAAAATGAATTGGGCAGCTTTTCAATATATATGAAAGCAACAATATAGTTTCATGAGGAAACAAAATACGGTCTTTACATATACATAGAATTGGTCCTCTGACAGCAAGTTGCATCTATAGTATGTAATATATAATGGTCTTGTGCCTCCAACATGGACAAACAAGGAATTAAAGAAGTAGCAACAGAAAAAAAGAAAATGATAGCAAAAGTGACAAAAGGGAGTAGTAACAAAGCTCATCTTCATCCTATTATAATGGTTCCATAAATTACAATAGTAATGGCCTATCCATCCACCTCATATTCTACTTTCAATATAACAATAAAAAGCTATAATAAATCGAACAATTTCTAAGCTCTTTAAATTTCTTTCTTTTGCTTCATGCTCCCATTATCCTATTTCAAGTGCTCTTTATCTTCTTTCAAATGTTGTTTCTCTTCCTCTATGAGTGCTCGTTTTGTTGCTTCATATTCTATTTTTTTTTCTTCATCTGCATAATCTCTTGTTTCATTTGCAACTCCAAGCCTCCAGCAAAATTTACCATTGAAAACAAAACCACATAACACTAATCCAAGTCCCAAAACCAATGATTATCATTATCCAACAATTTAAAAGTAATATACAACCATAGCCTCTAAATAATTTTATAATACCAAGGATGCAAAAACAAGGATGCTGGTTGTGAAATGGAAGCAATACCAAGGATGCAATAAAAATTTCAAAATACAATAGCAAGGATATTGGCAGTAAAAATGAAGCGACACCAAGGATGCAACAACAATTTTAGAAAACAATAACAAGGATGTCAACAGTAAAAAGAAAGCTTCACTTATCAAATACGCATTGCACATATCGAGTGAATAAGCAGCAAAATTACTATGTCGATCCACAAGTTCATAACACTATAGAAATCAAAGTCAGGGCATCTGAATGATCATTTATGGCAAAACACTATAGAACTTGAAGTCAAATTTCAAGCAATTATTAAACCTATAGGAAAACCAATAAAACCTATATCGCAAAGCTATTGAACGCCATGGAGAAAAGAAGAACCTCTTTCTAGTGGACGAGATCGACCTCTAGCATGAAGATGAATCTGAATTGCAAAGAGAGCACGAATCATGAACACAAACCTAAATCACAAAAGACAAAATCAAATCACCCAATCACTTTTCGTAGAATGGAAATCGTGAGCTTTCTTTAATGAACTGAGGCCATGTTTGATATACTAAAATTGTGAGAAGAGAGATGAAATCATATATGAAATTGTTCAGTTAACTTGTTTGGTGTATCAGAATTGCTTTCTTGAAGGAATTTAATTCTATCAAAATTGATGGAATCCAATTTCATTGTAGAGATCACGAAATTCATCAATTCAACATGGAATTGGTTTATGTGTTATTAAAAAAAATAAAGGATATTTTGTACTTTAAAAGTACATTCTTTATTTTTTTATTGTTAAATTTTTCATTAAAAAAATAAAATAAAGGGTATTTTAATTTTTTATATTTTAAATACATAAAATTATTAAAATTATATCATAATTTTATCTTTATATCAAACATACTTTTAAAATTCACTTCAATTCTAATTTTGATTTTAATTTTAATTCTATTAAAAAAATTTTTATCATACCAAACGAGATCGGAAATCCTAATTATCCTCTCGCTTTCTGTTAAATGAAGATCAAGTCGAAAATTTCGGTTGAATGAAGGACCCTAATCGCATTAGGCTGCCTTCAAAGTTCAAACTTTAGTGCTTCTGTCAGACTTAACAGTTCCGTAACCCGCTCAAGTTATTTCCAAATGCAGAAGGGGCAATGGGTCTAACGGCTGAAACATTAAGGGTGTAAAAAAAAGAAAAAAAAATTATTGGTGCCAAATTAAAAAAATGAGGGGAACTATAAGTACCAACAAAATAATTTTCCCAAACATAATTAAATACTATTTTAAATCATAATTATTCTTTACACAGTGTTTAAGAAGTTAAGAGTTACTTAACCGTCCAAGTCTCATATATGATTATTTAAGAAAATTGAAAATTCGGAGAGTTGGCGTCAGAAACGAGGGAAGAAGGCGACTTCTCTTACCGACCTATCTGCGCATGTCCAGTATCTGTTCGTTCTTGCACTTCGTCGCCTCAGCTGCAAGTTGCCACGTGGCATAAGTAATTTTTCTATGAATTTTATTTCGGACAATTTTTAGATTTCATATTTTTTTTATCAAAATTAATTTAAAATTAGCATATAAAAGATATTGAAGTTTATATATATGTATGCATGTAAAACTGTTTTATCCTCTATTAAATTATTTTGTTAAAAAAACTCAAATGCAAGGCTTGAAAAACAATTGGAATGAGTGTGGAGTATTTATATAAAATTGGGGATGGGACATGATATATTTGTGGCTGAAAAGTGATAGCCAAGAGTTTTATACTTGAGGTTCTGGCATGTTTATGGACGATTATGTCCCCGTTGATAAGTGAAAAGGACAGATGGATCCTTTTTCAGTTGCTTGGGCAGTGTGGTAGAAGTTGGAAAAGAGGTCGGTCAGACAGACGGGGAGTCACGATCGAAAAGTAACACGTCCCATTTGAACTACCACTCTTAAGCTTCCGTTAATTTCTCTTGAAGGGAGAGTTATTTCGATAACGATTTGAATCTGATTCAGCCGAATATTGGAACAAATTCATAAATAATTATATTTTTGAAATGAATGTGACGAATATATCCTTTAAATGGCACATTAATTTTAAGGCTGGGGTTTACTGCTTTAAATAAGCTTTACTTTATGATGAAATAATTATGGAGGCAAGCAAGTGAGTTTAGAGCGGACAGCATGGCATGGATGATTAACTGATGCAGCGATGTCCAAGACTGAATAATTGAGGGAGCTCTTTTTGAGACAGATTTCCGAAAAACAAAAACAATGTCCCACACTTGTCTTGCTTTTTAAAGAGACGTGAGCATGATCCTGACTCAGCAATTCAGCAATCTATTAATTATTTGCACCCTTTGGCTGTGCAGTCCCATCTTTGGAAATACCATTTATTATACTTGTTTTTTTAAATAATAACAATAAATGTTGTATATGTACACCACGTTTCATCTATATCCTCCTCCACTCGTCATCATCTATGTCCACACGTAAAATGAGCCTTGTAAAATTTAAAAATAAGATATTTCTATTCATGACTTCGAATTATTGCCCCCATTGTTTGGAAGCAATATTTACATACGTTCTTTCCCATCTCAAGAGAGATTATATGGAATAACTTCGTCATTTAATTTTATATAGAGACACATGCAAGAACACTAGTATATATCATATATTCTAATTATGGAACACTTTTGCAAAAAAAAATTATTCTAAAATAAAATATACTTTAAATAAATTAAAATAGTGTTTGATTAAAAAGAAGGGAAGAAAAAATTTTACCTCCCCCCAAATTGAGGGATCCTCCCTCCCCTCCTCCTCCTTCTTCCTGTCCCTCTCCCCTCTCCTCACCTCTCCTTTTCTTCCCTTCCCTCCACTTAAACAAAGCCTAATATTTTATTAAATGTATTAATTTTAATATTAGCTTTTTTATATAATTAATTTTTGTCTTTTTTCTTTTTAACATAGTAAATAATGGATATTTTTAAAATTTTATATTTTTGTTTTAAAAAAATAAGATTTTTCAAATATATAAAATTTAAAATGAGATTTTGTTTAAAATAAAATTGTTCAGTATATTTAATGAGATTTATTAATATATAAAATTTTGTTTAAATATATCTTATAATTTAAAATGAGGGGAGTGTGATAAAAGAATATTTTTCACGCCAACGAGTATCTTAGATTCTCAGTGGAAGAGAACATGATCGTTCAAATATGAAATTTTGGATTTAAATTCGTGTGAATACAAAAAAAAAAATTGCTTTCCAAAGAATTATCTACATTTGGCCTTTGACAATATTTAAATTTAACTCAATTAGACAATCACATAAAAAAAAACAACAAAAATAAACCTTATCTGTGGTTGGTTAAATATTAACTTCTATCAACCATTTGGTTCGACGAGAATAAATGAGAGGGATTTTTATGAGTTTTATATTAAAAAAGAAGGGTGAAGTTTAAAGTTTTTAAACCATAGGCCTTTATTGAAATTTTATAACCATGTTTATCAATTTTTCTGGAAAGAATATCAATAAAAACACATTGACTAGACTTATTTTGAATCAAACCCTTGAATTTCTAAAATATCATTACAATATAAGGGTCTCAATTGGATATTGAATTTTTTTAAAAAAATAATAAAATTACCTTTTATTTAAATTAATATTAAAACTGTCCAACTTTACTTATTTATTTACTTAAAAAAATATTGTTAATGGCCCTACTTTGCTTGATTTCATTTTAGGTATTTAAATCATTTTAAGATAATTTATTAATTTTTATACTTTATATTGTTCACTCACTCACGAGCTATTGTTCATTACTCTGTTTTACTTATTTATTGTCATACTTTTACTTTATTTTATTTTAGGTGTTTAAATCATTTTAAGAGAACTTATTTATTTTTATATTATATGTTATTTATTTATTTATAGAATATTATTTATTGCCTTACTTTACTTGTTCATTGATAGACTTTTACTTAATTTTCTTCCAAAAAAATGAACAAGTGAAGTAAATATTTTGTAAATAAATGAATAAATAAAACAAGACAGTTCTAATATTAATGTAAATGAAGGACAATTTTCTCATTTTTCTAAAATTTTAATATCAAATCACAACCTTTTAAAATGTAGTCATGTTTTAAAAATTTAGGGAATTTAATTCAAAATAGGTTTGCTCAAGGAACTTTTATTGATATTTTTCCTTTTTTTTAAACTCAATTCATTAAAATTTTAAAAAAAGAATTAATAATTTAATTTAATTCCCAATAAACCTTGCAGTTGGGTGGTGGTTTAATGTAAATCTTCCAATTTCAAAACCAGAGAGAGTAAACACCGCCTGTGAAAAATCTAGTTGTTCCATTAGTCTGACACGTGTTGTCCAGAATGCAAGAAATTCAGAGAAAGCAATTATTTTAGACGCGTGTCAATTCTAAGTCAGATTGACGCAATGAGGAGAAAAAAATTAGTGACAGCTGTGGGATTTGAACCCACGCCCTTTCGGACCAGAGCCTAAATCTGGCGCCTTAGACCACTCGGCCAAACTGTCTTATGTGATTGGTTAACAGGCCTGATTACTACTTTTTTCTTGCATGCTATAACATACTCCCTCCACTTTCTACAAATAACATAAAATAATTGTATAACACAAATTTTAAAAATAAATTAACTATAATAATTATATTTACAAATAAAATTTTTTGGAGTGCAATACCCTTATGTTTCATTAAAATAAGTTTGCATTAATTGTTTCTCATGAATAAATATTATGAGTTTATGAAAGGTAATTTAAAAAAATTATAATAAATACTTATTAAGATAAATGATTTTATTTGTAAATAAAAATAAAATAACAAGTGGTATTTTTTATATATATAAACACAGAAGGAGTAACTTTGAAAGAATTTTGTTGTTCTAAAATACAAGATAATTTTAAAAAAATAAGGTTTTATTTATAATATTTTTTTAATATTATCTTTTAAGTGAAAAAAGAATTGAAATGATATTGCAGCATAATAATTAAATGTGTAAATGTATTTTTGAAGGTCTATAGTTTTATTTTTCAAAAGTAAGTTTGTAAAGTACATTATTGCATATTTTCAACATGCGTAATCTTATCTCAAATTGTTTTGTAATTTGAGATATAAAGAGCATTTTCTCTAATCTTATTTATAAGTTACTTCTAATATATTTTATTAAAATTAAAAAAAACTTAAATGTCATTAATTTTATCTTAAAATTTCATAAATTTTCATTTCTACCCCATAATAAGGACAACAATATTTATTTTTAATAATTTTTTCTAAAATTTAATAAGGATAGAAAAATAAAGATGAACATAAAAAATAATAAAGTATCATATAAATTAGACCAAAATTAATTTTTTTATTTTATAAATATGATCGAAGGAGTATATGACTATAACTTTTTAAGATTGAGAGTGCTTGTGTTTGAACTCGTGGCTTGACTTGTGAAAGCAATAAGGTCATGAGGCTAACTTTTTAACTAGGCAAAAAAGTACATTTCAAATTTGATAATTTCCACCCTTATAATTCTAATTAATTCTTGGGCCTTTTGCACACACAATCTATATTATAAAACCAAATAAAAGGAATAGCTTATCATTTCTTAAATTTTAAAAATAACCTTTTTAATATTTAGTTGATATGTAATTTACAAAACTATTATTTTAAAATTATAACACTTTGCTTTTTACAAACACCACAACATACTCAAAACGCGAGAAATTAGACAAATGAGATAGACAAACTCGAGCTACAATCACGGTGAAAGAAACAAATTGATCAAACTCAAAGACGAAAGAAAGTATAGCAGTGTAAGCGAGCCACAGTTACAGCAGCGAGAGACATTGATGGCACTCAATAGAATAGAGCACACCTGTAAGGAGACAGTGCTATAGAATTTTTTTACGGATTACGTTTGATCCGTTTTGGGCAAATGATTATGTGTTTTTTGTAATATTGATATGCGATACTATCTCATTGATATATGGCTGTATATGGTTAATAAATAAGTTTATGTCTAATTATTTGGTTATATTGATCTACAAGAGTATATCAATAAACTATCGTAAATCAAAAACACAAAAACAACATAATCATTTTTTCAAAATAGATCAAACAGATTTGTAAAAATTTCTAAACACCTTAACCTATCATAGAAAATCAAATACCTAAAATAAAAAAAAATCAAGAATAATGAGAGAATAATATATGTTTTTTGTTAGTAATTTTAAAAAAATTTCATGATCAATGACAACAATGACACATTATGAACAAATGATTTATTAATTTAATGAATATATTACCCATATAAGTGAAGATGATGAAATTTTGATAATAGATAATACTCTTTAACAACAACAACAACAAGCCTTTATCCCACTAGGTGGGGAGATAATACTCTTCAATTTTCAAAAAAATAAAATACAAGACAACTTCAATTTAGATCTTGAAATATGCAATGCAAAATATGATGATGGAGTTCAATCTTCAATGTCAAATCTCAACTTTGTAATATACCTGAGAAAAATAGAGAGGGAGAGGGAAGAAAAGCACTAACATATAAGACTTCCCTTCTTTGTGATAAAAGAAGGATTGTGAACATATAATTCAATCAGTTAAAAATTAGTCACGGAAGATATATTGTGTTTTAATAATATATTTATTCTGAAGATAAAAAAGAAAAATCACATCTAATTAATTTTATGAATGTGCCATATTTCAAAATATTTAAAAATTTAATTTATATAATTTATGAAAATTATATTTTTTAAGGTCATTGAACTAATTTACTCTTAATTTTTTGAGTTAGATATTTTTTCCAACTAACAGTTTAATTCAATAATCACATTTTAAAAAACTTAAATTCAATGTTTACATTTTAAATTTAATCTATTACTAAAATTACATTATATGCTTTTAAAATTCTATTTCTATAATTATGCGTCATCTTAATAATACAAATATGTAATTTATGTTAACAGTATTAGTGTACATGCTAAAATACTAATATATCTATATATATAAAACAGTAAAGACTATATAAAATTGTTTTAAATTACAAGAATTTAATTAAATATTTCAGAAATAAAAATATTCTGTAAAGTTAACTTAAAAGTTCTTTTAATAATTTTTTTTATAAAAAAAAGGTGAAACTGATGCATATACAAGATAGTCCTTGCCCAACCATCAATAATTGATGGCTGCATCATATTCTCTGCTTTGCTTGTAAAACCTAAAAAGAACGTTAAATTAAAACAAGAATAGAGATTATTGTAAGATCTTAGTTACTAGTTGACCATGCATGATGTTCATAGGATTGGTAAGCACGTCACAAACTGAAAAGGAACCTGATAAGCCTTTCAAGAAGATCCATTGCTACTATTACATTTTGGCAAGCATCTCATTACAAGAGAATTGGAAGAAGGTGGTTTATAAGTTGAGAAGAACTCAGGATCTTCTTCAAGGGATTCACTATAGCTCTCCAAAATAGAAACAATCTCATCAAAATGTGGCCTTTTATCTGGATTGCTTGACCAGCACCTGTTTATCAGATGACTAAATGCCTTTGGACATTCAGCTGGTAACGGCGGCCTTGCATTCTACCAAAAGGAAAAAAAAAACGTGGAACAATACACAGTGAATCTCAAGTCTCAAAGAGGACAAAGCACTCATTGTTGTAAACTAGAGGTTTTTTTCCAATTTAATCATCAACAGAGCAATATCTGAGAAAGACACAGCCATATCAACATTAAAAGGACCCACTCATATGCAACCATACCATATAAGAAAAATGCGCATGCAAATCTGCACTATGAGATAATTTCAGTGGTTTCACATCTGAAGCACTCCAAGCATACAGCAACTTTATTATGTACAGAATCGTTTTATGAATGGACAAGGTTGAATTATGATTGACTTAATAGACCAAGTCTAACTTATATTTCCCCTTGGGTTTAATTGGAACCTTAGAATCTCTATCCAACTATTACTAAATATATGCATGTGCCTATATCTCTTTTTATATGCAAACTAGACTTTGGAGCTATTACTTTATGAGGTTCTAAGATAAGTTATACTGTTCATAGTTTATAAATAACGTGACTTATTTTATATAAAACGAAGTGTATACATGGCAATCTTTTTTATCAGAATGTGTAAGGACAGATATTATCAAAATGAAATGAATCCTCTATAGTGCTACCAAAGTGCTTGAACATGAACGTGCATATGGATATAACTGCATTTCACATCTTCCTAAGCCTTTATAGTCGTGCAAGTTCTTTTTTACTTGCATTTCATTCGTTGATCACTCAAGTGGATTGACAATCGTTTATTTTCATCCTGAATAACAGGTACACCAGTATATCTGATAATAGCATCACCACTACCAGCAACTTTACAAGTGGATTAGGACTAGCAAAAAAGGAACAAATCAAAAGTGCACTTCTTTTTTATATCAAGATGCTTAGAATCACAAATTAAGTGATTTAATCAAGAAACTTATTCTGCCAGCAATGTAAACAGCAGCAGCAGAAGAGTCCTAACTTTTCACAAGCTCACGTATAGTTTTTTAGGAGGTAAATAAGAAGATTAATCTTATGGAAGTCTCATGAAATTGAGGCAGTTCAATTTAATAACAATGAGAAAATGAAGCATGTGATTAAGAAAATTCTAATGCTGCAAATACCTTGTGTGAGACTGCATAAGCTGCCTGTTCCGGTGTCATGTTGTGAAATGGGGTCAGTCCAGTTAAGAGCTCCCACAGGACTATGGCGAAGCTATAGACATCTACTTTCTTGCTATGATGCTTTTCTTTGATCATTTCGGGCGCCATCCAACGGTAAGTTCCTGTGAATCCTTTTGCGCTACCAATCTGTGATTCTAAGCACGAGATTCCAAAATCTGCTACTTTTACACACATATCTTCCCCAAGCAATAGGTTCTCTGATTTAAGATCCCTATGAAGCACCCCCTCAGAATGAAGATATTGCATTCCCCTCGCAATGTCTAGGGCTAATTTCAGAACAAGATTGAGCGGAACCGAATTAGGCTGTTGCTGATGCAGGTAACTTCTCAGTGATCCTCCGGCCATATATTCAGTAATTATACAAAACACAGGAGGCTTCTTGCAAGCGGCCAAAAACTGCAGGGCCACAAGAAGTCAATAGCTGCTAGAAAATGCTTAATAACAAGCAAGAATGCATACATTGTCCACTCATCAATATTTGATCAGCCACAACATCCACAAGACGCTAAACTAAAGATAACTCTCAGCTTTTAAGTTCAATCTATAGTTCTATATACCATGCCATCAGAATGGACTTAACTTACAATCAGTTCTTACATGTGGGTTTGATGGAAGGAATTCACAGGAAAACAAGGAGAAATAGACGATATATGACGATAAAAATTGAAACAGGAGAATTGAAGTCAGTGTAAAAAAATAAATAAATAAATAAAAGTTTGCAAGAACGTGAATGATAGGGATGGCTTAAGGAAACAGAGCTTACAGTGATGATGTTGGGATGGTGCAAGTGAAAGAGCAAAGCAACCTCGGAAATGAATTGCTTTTCAAGCAAAGCAGCCAAGTCGGCGTCCTCCTCCGGCTGGCTTATGAGCTTGATGGCGACATCCTTTTGCTTGTAAATGCCTCTGTAGAGCTTGCTATGCCTTCCAGAAGCAAATTTGGATCCAATGAATAACTGAGACAGGTCGGCACTCCATTCCTCTTCTCCCTCTCCCTTTATGGCAGCCCCTGAAGAGACCAAGTACTTGGACCATGACACAGCTCGCTTGTATTCTCCAAGCGACAGCCTCCTCCCCGACCTCTTGGGGTTATGAATCTGTGTGAAGCCGTGAAAGTTCTTCATGGGTCAGAGTTATTATCAGCAGCTCCAGTCACAATCGTCAACCCCTCCTAACCTCTCTTCTTGAAGGCCAATGTAGATCCAGAACCAGCTTGATTTTGAAGAGGTTAACCAGTTCCCGAGCTAACTACATGTGGAGAAGTATTTATCGTTAGTAAGTAACGCACTTGGAAAACAGAAAAGGAGAGATTAATCAGCTCCAAACTACCTCATCTTGTTTTGTACTTGTGTAAACAAACACCAAGAGACTATACCGTTGTTAAATAAGGGGAAGGAATCAGGGAAGCAAAATCCAGCATGATTATAAGGAAAGACCGAGTCTGTTTTCGGAAGAGAGAGAGAGAGAGAGAGAGAGAGAGAGAGTACGATTCCGTGGGGAAGAGAGAAGTCAGGAAGCTGGTCCCCCGGGTCATTAAAATCCTGAAGCTAAGAGAGCTGAAATCAAGACGAAGGAAACTGAAGACAGAGGAAAAGCTCTGGTTTTAAAGTTTTAATTTTTGCTTTTTTCAACGTTCAAGAGAAGAGATTAGAAGAGGATGTGAGGAAGACAGGTGCGGGAAGAAGTTGGAAGCGTGGAAGGAGAAGAGGAAGGAGAAGAAGAGGAGGAGGGGGCCATTGTGGACTTGCCATTCGCAAGTACACTGCACTGCTCTACGTTCACAACGTGAGACGATCCACTTCTGAGGAGGCAACCCGGGTCGCTCTGATTAGGATTTAGAACCCTCCCTCCTATCCCTCATTCCCTTTCTCGCCTTCCTCTTTCTCTATATTCTCCAAAATGCCATTATTCCCTTCCCAATCCCCTAATTTACCATACTACCCTTGCCCCTCCATTATTTCCAGCCTTCAATCATGATGCGCGTGTGCCCTCCACACTCCAACCATCCTACCAAATGTGATGGCCATTCTTTTTTCTTCTTTATCTTTTCCCTTTATAATAGATACTTGATGATCGAGGTTGTCTTTTTTTTTTCGGTCGAAATCGTTGTTGTATTAATTTTAATCATGCAATTTTTTGATGCAGTATTTTTTTTGGGCCAGATTTTTGTGTAGTAAGGGAAGTTTAATGGTGCCGTGAAGCAAACTCAGGGAAACATACTAAGATTAAAAATGAGAAACTAAGAATAAAATAAAATTGAGAGAAGGTCGAGGGTGAGGGGTGAGGGAGTAATAATGGAGAAGAGTTGGGCCCGCGGAGGTGTTGGTATCCCTGAAAGTGTCGGACAAGCCGTATGGTCCTCTTCCGTATACGGTCTTCACTTCACACCCCCCCCCCAAAAAAAAATATTTATTGGATTTGAAAGAACTCTCTCTCTCTCTCTCTCTCTCTCTATCTCTCTCTCTCTCAATTGAATACTTTAGAGACCCTTCTCTCTCTTTTATTGGGAAGTGTCGTCCTATTTTTCCCCTTTAATTTTAATTTTAATTTTTTTGGCCGACGATTTTCGCTTTAAATTCTTAATATAAGTTGCCCAGAAATGTCAAACTCCAACGCCAGCGCCTTCTTTTTTTATCTGTTTAAATAAATATTTTTAAATCGCTTATCAATAAAATTATAACATGATTTAATCTCATAATTTTATGAATTGTAAATCAAATCTTTAATAACTAGATGAATCTTTGTTGATCTAACGTGAACACCTTCGTATCCCCTCTTACGAGTGAAGATCAAAATATTGTAGGATGCATTGTTTTTATATAATTTATAGATTTAAATTGTCTACTCGTTTCTTAGATTATTTTAGTATTCAGAAAAACTGAGAGCTGCGTTTAAAAACAGGCTAAGAAATAAGAGAATTCAAGATGAAAAAGACAAGTGAAAATTTAAGTTATGCTTTTACCTTAATCAAGTGTTACGTTTCTCTTTGCAGCGAGCTCTCCTTTTTCTCTACCTCCTTGGCCTGCGCTCTCCTAGCCTCTATTTATAGAAAGACTGGAGCTCGGGTTTCTCTAAGATAAAATACTTAAAAGATGAGATAACTTAAATTCTGAGAGATGCGATATTTAGGATTATATTTTAGGATGAACCTCCGATATTGGCATATCCTTATTTCTTTAAATTTATTGTAAGATCTATGCATAATAGATTTTTAGATATATGGATTTTATTTACTTTTAAACTCCCAATCCTTATAATAGTCCTTAAAAATTACTCTATCTTCTAATTTTGACTTCAAAATATCAAGTATCATATATCATAGTAGAATAATCTTTAGAGATACTTAACCACGCATTATGATTTATCTTTTTCTCTTTTTCTTCTTGATGTTTTATATTTTTATTCAGATTACCCGAACAAAATAAAGAGTCCCAAAACATTAATGATTATCTTTTAATATAATACTCTCATAACAATTTCCCGTACTCATCATAAATTAAACGCATATGAAAAATTTTAAAAATATAAAAAATTGATTGTATTTTTTTAATCCAAACTAATAGGTTTTGACTTTATGAGAAAATTTTGCATAGATCTAATGCATTAAATCATTCATGCTCCATCTAATAAAATTACACTAATTAAATTAAAAAAACTATTTGTCATTATTTTTAATGATTTTTATTTTTACAGTGGAATGATTATTTAAGTTCTCATTCTTTCTCTATTAATAATATAATCAATTTATATTTAATATTATTTAAATATCATATTTTTATTAGATGGAGCATGAATAATGAGGTGGATCAAGTCCATACAAAAATCTTTCAAACTGTAAATTAGACATAAACAAAGTGGAAGAGTAATTAATTATAGGTGATAATTAATGATGTCAACATTGAATCTTTCAATCAATGTCACTATTTTATTTAGGTATGGAGGTAAATTTAATCAATAATCACCAATTAAGTGATGCAATTAAATCTTTATCAAAGGCCACATTAATTTCTTTCCAAGAATCATAAAAGGCACCTGTGAATGGTGGTTGCCGATTATTTTTGTTTGTCATTTAGTAATTTCAAAGAGATTTCGTGAAATCTTAAGATTCAAGCACATGAAATAAGACAGGCTAAATGCCACGTGTCCAGATACGAGCGGCTCCCGAGTTCAATTATTGCTAATTATTACTAAACCCGTGGCTGTTGGTACGTATAGTTAAGCCCTCCACGGTACCTGAATCAAGTTTGGCGCATAGTCAAAACATTTTGGATCTCTTTTGAAGGAAAATTACATGTAGAGAAGATTTAAACAGAGTAACATGTGTCCCACCAAAACCCAATAACACGTGGATTAGAAATCATGTGATGTGATGGCTCTATCCGTATTATGGAAAAATGGAAGGGCTTTGAATACATATGAGCAAAGTGAAAAGATTAGCGCAGAAATCGATGAAGAGGTGTTCACGGGGACTGCGCTGAGTTGAGAGTTGAGAGAAAAGAAGAGGGTAAGAATATCGGTCACTCGGTTTAAAGGTGAACATTAGTTTCCAGGACACGAGCTGGGCTCATGCAATCGACCACGTGAAACTGTTTTTTCATACCCACTTTCAGACTTGTCAATTACTTGCTTCATTGAGCTCATTTTCAATCTTCGTTCGCATGCAATTTTTCTAGCAGACATACAAACTTATATATATTCTATTTATGAGTCGGACTCTAGAAGAATTTTGTAATTCTTAACAGAAGTTAATTTATATAAAAATTTATCTAACTTTACTTTATTTCAAGCACGTACTTCCTCTCCATTTCAAAATTCATTCGTATGCATTTTTTTAGCAAAAAGAAAATTTATGGTGCATACCAACTTATATATATTCTTTTTAATCCTATTTATTAGTCAGGTTTTAGAAGAATTCTGTAATTCTTAATATATGTCAATATATATAAAACCTTGTCTGCCAATAATTACTTTATTTCACATATGCGCTTCTCCGTTTCAAATTTCAAATGAGGATGGAGAATGTTTATTCTTTAAATTATGGTATTTATTAGGGGTAAAAATAAAAATAAAAATAATTTTTTAGACAATTTCATTTATGCAACTAATTTTTCTTCGTTCTTGTTAGTTAGTTCTAAATGACCTGTAATAAGAATCGGATGGAGTAAGAAACACAGTTAGAAGAGGCTTCCATTTACCCTCCACAACCTAAAGGAGACTATACTGAGGATAATTCCAAGTGGAGGATACTCCTAAGTCCTAATCTTTTAAAAAAGGGGCGGAAAAGATGACATGGGAAGATGACATTTGGGTCCTTGTTAGGGAATTACTGACATTTTTATTCCCTTTTTCCACTATAAAAAAAAAAAAAAGTTGCTGATACAACACATAATAGTTGCCAATCTCAAAAGGGTGATTGTTGAAGAGACCAAAATGTCAATAATTCTTTTGCAGGGGACGAAAATGTCATTACATTAAAATGACAAAAACTGAAAAAAGGACAAGGTGGGGTCATTAAGAGAAATGAGTGAGAAGGGTGAGGAGAAAGGAGGAGGCAAGGTGGGTTGGTGTTACTGTCAGGGACAGAAGGAAGATAAATTAGTTAAGAGGAGGGATGTCATGTCCGGGAGACCCCAACACCCCACAAGATCACACCCAACATTTTCACACAACTCCGCAAACCATACCCTCTGCTTCTCTGCTTCTCTGCTTCTTTGATCGAGACATCACCTCTCTCCTCCCTCCTTCACTCTCCGTTATCTTATTTTATAATTCATCTCCTCTAATTATCAATCAATAAACATCTTACCATTTTGAGATCATCAATTTTTCTCCTCTCAATCATCTTAGGTATAGATGCAGAGTCCAAATGGAAAGAAAACAAGACCTCCTTTCTGCTTCATTATGGTAATGGGAATTGGAATACATCATGTATATTTTAACAAGATTTTTGTGTGTGCCTGTACAGTAAAAAAAAATCATGTCGGGTTCCAACATTTTACTCCAACGATCCATTCCCTCGAAACATAAATAGGGGAACAAGAAGAAAAGAGCAGAGACTAGAGGGTGCGTATAGATGAAGGTCAAATGGAGGTAGGGGCACAGAGGTTGTAGCCTGAGATGAGTGAGCTGAAGGCGAAGGCAATGAAAGCCAGAAATGACATTCCAACGGAAGCACTGGCCATCTCTGTGAACTTGTCTTTCCCCCAATTTGATTGCCAGTCATCAACCCGCGTTGCTGCAGATGACGATGCTGATATTAGAAGATATGCCAGAATCTGTCAACCACAATATCACAAGTCACAACAACGTTATTCCAACAAATACAAGTCTCGTTTTAGTTCATAGTGTCCACAGTGATGCAAATCACAGACACTAGAAGAAGTTCCTTGCGGAATTAACACTTCGATGGATTTAAATCAGTGACAGGATAGTTCGTTGTTCGGGAAATCTTCTCGAGGTACAGTTGTATTGGTGTAAGGAATGTTTTGAGAAGTTTCTAGACTCTGATTTTAGTTAGATCATGTTAGTCTTCTGTTAAAAACTCAGTTAACTCAAAGCAGTTAGTCAATTCTGTTTCACACTCATGTAGCATATCAATGTAGTACCACAACCCAATAAAGTGATGAACTCATTGTTCTCTCTCTTTCGGTCCCTACATTCAACTTCTCTCTATCTCCCTCGCTACTCTTATTCTTACTTCTATTCAATAGCGAATATTTTTAAGCCAATAGCTGCGTCTTCCATGAGACCAAATCCTCTCCAGTAATAGAGAGGAACCAGTGAGGAGAGGAAGGATTATGGCCACCATTTGACAGAAACAAAACTAACGATTAGATTTTGAGCCCATTAACTTGCCTGGTCCATGAAGAAATCAAAGTGACAGCGGAGATGGTGATTGATAATGTTTGTTCCAGTGACTGATCGCCAGGCCAGACCACATGCTTGAAATCCAGAGTATACAAAAGCAATAACATTCACTGATAAACAATACCTGCCCAAAAATAAGAATTACTGTCATTAGAATCTAGCTAAGAAAGCGAGAGATTGTAAAAAACAAACAACAAACTGATGGTTGATAGAGATGCAGAGAAACCTAGAATTCAATACGAAGCGGCAAGGACTACGGTTTGGAAATACAGTTACAATGCCCTTTTTTACTATTATCATTAACACCATAGCTTTCAAGATTTTCAAATAACTCGTGGATAGTTGGATACAACAAGGACAAACCAGTCCTATAAATTAATCCAAGACCACCACTGTTAGTTCAAATAGCACTTTGGTGCTGACATAAATAATAAAGGCAAAGTTACGCTAGTTGTTAGGACAAACATGCTTCTGGGACCATCACTGTTGTCAGTTCAATTAACATTCTGGGGAATATTGTCCCCAAGCATTCCTATAGACAGCTCACATTAAGGAGCTACTAACATTCAAGGGTTGCTAAGGCCTAAGATGCAGAGCAAGAGGGCTTAATACTCCAAATGGGGATAAAACTGAAATAAATAAAACACATCAGGAATCAGGATCATTGTGCCCAATATTCCAAATAAAAGGTAAGGTAGAATGCTAATAATTCGGAGATTGCTTGAACTATAATTTAGAATTAATGCAAAGTCTACGGTGACTGTAGTGTCCAGCAGTACTTACTAATGGTACATCAAACTGATCGGGGAAGAAGCATCAACAACCAGATTTGGAGAGGGGGCACAAATATTTTTCAGGAAAGAGTAATTTATTTTATAAGTATTCAGTATGATTCATTTCCCTTATGAAAGGATGTACGGCTAGCTTCAAAGAACAGAATTCATAGGAATTGGGAATAAACAGGACGAGAAGATAGAAGCAGTTCAGCCACGTTGACAGTTCGATAGATTTAGATATGTCTATGTTACCGAAGCAAGTAATGGAACCTAGTAGAAAAGATGGGGATGCCTCTTAATATTGTCAGTCTTTATAACTCCTGCTTCGTCTGACTCTGAACTTAAAAAATAGAAAAGTAAAAGCTAAGCAAAGGGACAACGTGGACTTGTTACTCTCTTTCATATGAAGATTGACATTCAGAGCAGTCCAAATTCCCAAAATAAAAATTGAAAATGTAGCATTGTAAAAAAGTAGCTATAAGATCTTCAATAGAGGAAGAGAAGAATACCTGTATTCCTTGTAGCGGTCAAAGGAGTCGCCACTCCAACCTTGGGTTTTATCAGCAGCCATAACCGAAAAAGAAATCAAGCAAAGCAACACCTCACTCAACCTAAACCCTAACGCCGCCCTCCTCAACATAACATCCCTCTTTAACCTTGCCACAGTAGACCCCGCCCCCCTCGATCTACCATGACCACCGTCTACAGCACGCCCTACGCCGCTTGCGGGCCCCACCTTCGTCACGGACGGCGGAGGCTCCTCCCTCATGGCCCGATTAACCGTCATCATCGATACAGGGGACCTCGCCGGAGGCGCATTCTCCGGCACCTTTTGGCGGTCCGAAGGAGGCAAGGCGGATCTAGCGGGAGAGTATTGATTAACTTTGCTGACGGCTACGATGGCCTTAGAGTTGTCCGGCGAGTTCTCCGGCGATCGGAACTCGGGTGATTCAGGCGGGTCGCCCTGTTCGGATCGCAAAGGCGATTGAAACCGAAGCGGGGAGTGAGGCGAGTCCACCTGAGCGGAGGCCTCGGAGTTCTTCGACGATTGCTTTTTCATCGTTGAAGCGCTGAATTTCTCCAATAACGGTACCGTTAAATGCCTTCGAGTTCGTGGATTTTAAACGCAGGCGGAGAGAATTCGGCCTCACGGAAAATAAATAAAAAATTATTGAACACTCTACAGAAAAGTCTGATTGAGTGCCAAGAAAGGAGAGAGAAAAAGAAAAAGCACAAAGCTTGAGCTTCGTGTCGATTCCATTGAGAAATTTAGAGTGGGACCATCCAGCAATGGTTCGATTCTTCCACCGTCGTCAACCGAGGGAATCTTTGTTTGTGCTAAAGGCTAGAGTTTTTGGCGAGGCTAAGACTAAGTCCAACAAATGATCACTCGCCGCAATGAGACATGTTCATACGTGTCATGATTTCATTGTTGAATTAAAGAGAGGAAAATGGTCACTAGCCGCACTAGATAACAGCTCTACCGTATTGATTCAGATTCTGTCACTGCCCTCGTACTCGCAGTTGCAGTTAGATCAGGTGGCTTCCCGCAAGCAAGGAATTTTCACTTCAACAAAAAAAAAAAAAAAAATCTGATTATTGAATATGCAATTCTATTTTTAATAGATTAATTAGGTTTTGACCGGTGCTATGAACAGGAATACTTTTTACTTGTACATAGATGCCATAAAAACTTGCTTGAGATATATTTGAGCATTTATAAGAGTCTTTTATCAGTTGAAGGAGAAGTATAAAATTTAAAAAATGAAAATGTTAAAATAATTTATTTTTATGTACCTGTAATATACTACTTCATGTAAATTTAAATTTAAATAAAATTTTAAATTTTTTTACCCAAATATATTAAAGATATAAATAATAATTTATTTTTGTTTTAAAATATGTTGCTCACATAATGAATTTAAGAAGGTAACACCTACCTTTGTGCTCTTCCTTCAATTGATGTGAGGGGAAACTTTAACATTGGTTAAAGAATAAATTTTCTGATAAGTTCTACCCCATAATTAATCAATAAGAAAATTTATTCTCCAACAAATATTATTAGATTTGTCATTGTTTTCTTTGTTCAACTCTCTAAACAATAATTTCTATTTTACAATGTATTGCCATCATGGATACCAAACACTATAAATATTTTTTAAATTTAGCATATCATGCAAAATAAAATTAGCTTATTTTCTTTAAGAATTTTTTTGGTCAATGCATGTTGAGAAAAATAAAACATGTATCATAATGAATCACATCTTATAATTTACTCATCTGTTAAAAAATGTAAGTCATTTTTAACTGAATCTCACTCTCAATAAAGTAATTACCTACTTTCAAACTAGTACTATATTTTTATATTTATCCTTATTAATCACCTTATAATAAATATAAAATCATTATCAATATAGGTACTTTTTAAAAAAATAATGATTACACATCAAATATTAAAAATACTTTACATTTTTTAACATCCAACTTTTCAAAAAATGCTTTACATTTTTTAACGGAGGGAGTTTGTCATAATAATATTTATAAATCATAATCATAGCCAAAAGTAAAAATAAGTATGAATAATACTTTTAAATTTAAGCAAGTAGAATAACCAATATCATAATACTATTTATTAATCATATATATGTTTATAATGATAAAACAATGACTGAAAGAAGTTTAGGATTAGGAGATGTACAATGAAAAATAAATTCATTAATCTTATAGGATTAAATTTGTAGTGCACGATTCTAGTGTTTTCAGTAGGTTTTCAAATTGTAATACATTTGTATATAACTATAGATTAATAATAAATGTGTTACCTCATGCATATTAAGAATATCCACAATAACTTATTTTATTTTCATGTATGTTATTTTATAATTTTTTACTCTTGTGTATATGAAAAATGTAATAAACAATTTGTTATATACCCTATGATATGTTGTTCTCACATAAACTAAAATTTAAATAACAATATATTCTACTTTACGTTTTGGTATTTTGAAATAAAATTATATTTTATAAGTTAAATTTTGAAATTTATCTATTATTTTATATAAATTAAAATTTAAATAACTGGGCATATTTTAAATTTTTTTCTTACATATATATTGAAAACATAAATAACATCCCTTGCATATTAAAAATTTAGATTTAAATTCTCTAAATTTTTTTCTTGACAAAAAAATCTCTAAAGTTAATATCTATAAATTTCATTGAGGTTTTCTTTTTTAATTTTTTTTTTATTGTTTTTTATAAAATATAAAAAAATTTTCTTTCTTCCTTGAAAAGGCAAACTTCACATAAATTTACAAATATAAATTTTTATTTCTATATATTAAAAATATAAAAAATAATTTATTATTTCTGTATATGTTATTCTCATACAAATTAAAATTTAAAAAATAAAACATTCTAGCTTATAACTTGTCATTTAACTTTGTATTTTATTATACAATATATTATTTTATAGCTATACAAAATGTAAGCAACAAATAATATATATTATATCCATTATTTTACAATAAATTTTATATCTATTATTAATTTTTTACCATGCACCCCACATTTATTTTTGTTTTTTAACTATGAGGCCCACATGATATTTTAACAACAACACATGATATTAATTTTAGTGATACAGGTGGATGGACAAAAATAATGATTTTTTAAAAATATAATCCTTGTGAGACCCATAAGAAAAAAAAAATGGTGTGGGACTCAAAATTTAATTTTAATGACTTAAATAATATACTATTTTTAATATGTAAGATTTATAAAATAAGAGAAAACATAATTTTAAATCCCTATACTTTGTTTGTGTTTTGCTATTAGTTTCTGTATTTTTTTTAGAGTTTTTATCCCTGTATTTTTGTTTTTCATTATATTAGGTCCCTCCATAAATAAAGTGTAGGGACCTTAGAGGGACTTAATATTAAAAAAAATAAAAATATATGAATAAAAAATATTAAAAAAGTGTAGAAACTAATAACAAAAATGCAGGCAAAATGTAGGAGTTTAAAATTATATTTTTTCATAAAATAGTATACAAAATATTTTTTACATCATTGTTACTATTCATTAACTGTATATAAACAGTAACAATGATGAGCTTTACACACACAAACTGTTCTCTTTTACATAATTTATTTTTTATATATTGCATAATTTTGGAGGTTATTCCATTTCAGAAAATTAAATGAGCCTTCTACCGCATTTCTCAGAATAACAGCTGTGCAATCTCATCTGGTGGGCGCGGCACATATAAAACATCGGTCATTGCATGTCTCAGTCAAAAATTTAATATGAAAGAAATAAATTAAGTTACACAACCTAAAAAGAACAGCACAAAATAAATAAATAATCTACCAAAAAATAAATAAATTGAAATGTTTAAGATGGTCCGAGTCCATGTTCAGTTCGAAGGATTCATATTTAGCCAGCCCTCCTTCGTGGAATCCATGTGCTTTAATTATTATTATTATTATTTTTTTGTGGGGTGGGGATATCCATGTCCTTAAATAAAAGAATCCCACTATATGCAACAAAAAAAAAAAAAAAGGAGAAGCATATTCGAGAGCATTAACTCTAAAAATTATTTTTCTACTTAAAATATAAATTGGGAAAGTTTTGTTTTAAACTAGAGATGATCAGATTATGACAAGATCCTTCACCATTAGCCTTATTAAATTGAAGTCTTTGAATTTAAAATCTCCCAAATAATGTGGTTGATGATTGGGACAAGCTTTGTGTTACGCATTGCATGACACGCTCCTCTACCTTGGACCCACCAACTGCTAACGCTTTAACCCATTTGATTTGTAGTGTCTTGATAAGTCCACGACATAGTTCACCAGATTACGCATAAAACAAACGCAAGAAACCCCAAGTTGATCCATTAAAATTTTCCACAATCTTCAACCAAACAAGAAGATTTGATTCTTTCAGAGTGGGTTATCTTTAGTGAACTAAAGGCAAATGTTCCCACTGGACTTTAGACAAGCGTCTGCCGTAAAGGTTCCTCCTACCCTTTTCATTTACATTCAATCCTATTCATATATAAGACCGCCATGAGAAGCAACCTGCCACAGGATGCCACTCTGCTCTACTTCTCACAAAAACACCTTTTCATGCTTCACTCTAGCCCTCTTCTGTACATGCAGGAATCTACCTGCCACCATCAAGAAACATCTTTCTCCCCACCATACATGGGGTCACTTTGCAATTACAACGCCTTAACTATGCTCATCCTTCTAGAAGGATCCATAAGAATAGTAGATCTATCTTTTTTATACAACACATGACTTTTGTCTTCTATCTTAGTAGAAGAAACAATGTAACCAAAACGGCAAAACATCATGCAGGAGCTTTAGATGCTTCATACACAAGAAAAAGTCTTCAAAGATAAAATCACATTAATACCTAGAATGCATGGGGGAAATAAGCTCTGTTTAATTCCTTGCTGAGTTCCTATCACATTAATTGGTTCACGAGCAAAATTGATATACACAAGATATCTTATCATATAAAAAAGGAAAAAGGAACAAAAGAATTTCTGCATCATGAACGGCTAAGAGGCTAAAAGAAAGTACAATGGCCTGCATACTGGGTAAAATTATCGCCCCCTCTCATAAAGGTTCTAGATGGTACTCTCTTGGCAAGTGTCAGAGTGTCCGATGTGCCGTCTCATATTGTTGAAGAAAGACCGAGATTGGATTAGAATACCGTGACTCACTCTGGTAATTTCAATCGGTTAAATATGACAAGAAAACTCTGCTCTGGCACAACATAAAGGAAACCAAGATCTGCGCCTTTTACATATGGTCCAATGCCCTGAATATGTTAGTGAAGAAAAGGAAAAATGTCAAAAGAAATCACGCTGATACATTCCGGTTTGCAAGAAGTGTTATTTTTTTCACATAAGAAATACTAACACACATCTAACTATTCATTTACCTTGCCATCAAGCTGGAGCAATTCCCCATCAACCCATTTTGGATTTCGAAAGCCAAACTCAGCTATTCTCCCTTGACCTTTATAACTTGCCACCTGTTTGTTCATAAATGATTCAATATTTTGATATTCAAAATAAGTTGCATGTGATCAAAACAGTACAAAGGGTGACGATAAGGAAGGCCATAAAAAAATGTCAAGAAATACACATTGGGGTAAAGAGAAAGCATTCTTCAAGTACATGTATACGCACTTTGACTGGGGGAAAAAGCATACACAATAAGATGGGAAGAAAAATGAGATGACAGAAGTTAAATTGACTGACAGTCAAAGAATAAAACTCTTTTGAGAGGAAGGGA